TTTACAAAGTGAAGGCCCGGGTTGCCTTTGGAGACGTCCTTAACCTCAAACTAAACAAGTCAGATGACCTTAGGTTGGAGTGAAAGTCTCGTTTAAAGGTGCTAAAACATTGAAAAGTGATGTTCCAAATAACCACAGGATGTAGCATCCGGATGTGTTTGGAATTGGCAGAGCTCATGTAGCCTTTAACGTACATACATGCACCTACAGCTCGCTCACACTCTGTCAGGCCTCTTCACACTTCTCATTGACACATTTTCCTTCTCCTGGAGCTCCGGGAACCACAACTCACCCAACGTCTGGCCACAATTTTCATCTCAGACGACGAACTGAGAATTATTTTCCTATTAGTTTCGAGTTCTGTCAAAACAGACCGTCTGGTTTCGCACTAAAAGCTCGGCCGAGGTAAGAAGCACTTCAGCTTTTTACACGAGTTGTTTCTACATTTACAGGGAAAATCAGTGGAATCAAAGACGAGAAGAAAGCATTCTTGAATCTGAAAGTATTTACCCTAAAAAGAGTTTATTTTACATGACATGTTTCTCTATCTCGCGCAGCAGGAAGGAAACACTTGAGGCTTTTTCAGACTCTTCCACGTTTTCGCCTGAACCTCCTGCGGTTTTCGCCACATTTCTTCTTCTTCTCTCTCGTATTTGCACTGGCTCTCGACGGGACACTGTACTAGTGAGAGATTATTTTTGTAGGCAATAATAACGTTTGGCCAATGATCAGATCTGATCACTTCCACTTTGCTTCGACCACAGACTCCAGTGGGGAATTCTGCAGTTTGCAGCTGCATAAATACATTTTGTGTACTGTGTAAAGAGCTGCCCGCACTGTGAAAAAAGCCACATGTGGCCTTTCTTCTTTATTTTACTGTCCTCTTTCCTTTTTATGCTAATTGAAACAACTACTGACCACTTTTCAGTTCAAGAATTATACTTTTCATTCTAATATCTCACTTGAACTCATTCTTTTACATTAAAAATACGTGATTACTCAAAGAATGAAATGCATCTGTAAACAGAAATGCTCATTTCTTTCCACTATCGATTTTTAAAGAGAGATGGATTGGCTCCTGACACATTGTTTTTGCTCAGTTATCATGAATCACTTGCAAAAGAAAAGGATGCAATAAAAAGATAACCTGATGAACCTTTAATTATTGGATAAAGATATAAATGATTGTGTTCAAACAACTTTGTTCCCCCCTCTCCTTTCCAGTCACATTAAATACATCACGACCTTTCAGATTTAGATTGTGACCCGAAGTGGGACCTGCACCTTCTGTTGGGAACAACTGAATTGAAGGAGCTGTAATTTGGTTCACTTGCTCCATAGTCGTGCCAATACAAATAAACATTTTGAAGATAACACTTTCTTTTTGTGTGATTTTGAATGCAAACCTTGACTCTCATTTTTTTTCTCAAGAGTGCAAGAATTCAAATCTTTACTTCTACTTGTAACTTCAAAGATCAGAAAGCCTTCCTCCTTTGCTTGCCAATAACTGTGATAAAAGCACAAAAACACCGAAAAACTGCACCACAAATTAACCACAAATACCTCGGAAAAATCTCCAAAGATGAATGCTTCAAGGGTTGAAACACACAGAACATCAAATAAATAGAAGAAATGGAAAACTCCAGAGGAACAGTAATTGGTGAATGTTGGATGGTAAGAGCAGTGTGATATTAAAAAATAACTATGTGGTGACTATATGATGCTTTGGGAATGTTTTTTGGGGGGTTTATTACTGGCAGTTTCCCTTTGATGAATGTTTCTCCCCCGAGTATTTTCTAATATTTACTCCACGTAATGCACACACTGCTACGAGTCATCAGTCATCTGGGTTTGGGCTGTCTGTGTTTGCAAACTTTCTCCTATTTTAACACACATTTCAATTTATCTACATCATAAAATGTCCCGGGATCATCGGGGTCTCCCTGCTACATGCGCGCATGGTCTGCCCCGTGACAGTAATGAGATATGACGACGATCCTGCGGAGCTTAATGTGTTATGCAGTCACTCCGTAAAATATGCCACTCAGAGAAAAAAATACGATCCTCCCTTTCCCTTCTGTCCAGATGTTTTTGCAGTGCAGTATTTACGAGGGATAATAAGAAGTACGACTGTGTCTACTCGGGAGTTGAGATAAGAGATACTTTGCAGTAAATCTGCAAAATTTAAAGCTGTAGCTCTGGAGTAATGTTTTTAAAGGAAACTGCCACATGCAGCACAGGAACACAGCTAAAGGTATCTCTATATGCGGCACAGTGCGAGTTCAACCCCATGCAGGAACATGTGCTCATATTTGATAATGCAAAAATGTCCCAACCACAGGCTGAGTGGGATTAATATCTCATATTTTGATGCTTCAGAGCACTGCACGGTAGCAGCAGAGCGCGGGGACACACTGCCTGGAATCACAGTGGCTGCAGCTGCGGGATCAAGAGACACATTCCCTCTGAGCTGCATAAACACTTCCTGTTCAGTAGGTGAGAACGGTGAAGGAGTCTGAGTGCGAGACTGTGAGGGGAAAATACTGTCAGGGGACATTCACAGAGCAACACATCTATAAAGTTACAGACTGCTGACAGAGGCAGCTAATTAACTCCTGCACAGACTTTACAACACGGTCTGGGGATCACAACGTGCAACTACAGCTTAAAGGAAGCATCTTTACAGCAATAAAACCCAAACACAACAAACTTCATCTGAGACACTTCACGTCCTGTTGCCTCTTTGACAAAGTACGCTCTGTATCTGAAACAAAGGAAAAACTGCAGCTCAATCAATCCACTAAACAGTAAAATAAATGTTAATATGAATACATACGTGTGCATGGGGTGAGTTAGAAGAGATTATTGATACCAGTCTCATCTCTTTGCACTAATTGAGGAGCCACATCCAGAAGGTTATCAGCATAGCTTAGCATAAAGACTGGAAATAGGGGGACAAGCTAGCCTGATGCTCTCTAAAATGTAAAACAATCTGCATATGAACACTTCTAAATCACCTCGATTTAGCATGCTTCTTTTGAAATCAGAGGCAGATTGAAGCTAATCTTTTTGGTTGCTGATGACGGACGTGACAAAAGATCAGGGCCCGTTTGCACGTTTTGTTCTTTTTGCCCTGAAGTGAAAGGATTACAGCATTAATGTACTGGTTCATTAAAGGGAAGGTGAATGCAGTCAATTCCTGATGTGCTGAGTGGTTTTGAAAAAATAGTTTTCCTCTTACTGGACCGCCTAACACTCCAAAGACTTGCAGCCAAAACTCTGAGAAACAAAACTCAAAAGAGTTCACATGAGAAGATCCAACTCCCCTCAGGCCGTCGGACCGTATTCAACAACAAAGCACTAAACAGGTAACTTCAACGACATAACCGTGATCATTACCTGAAGATTGAGGGAACATCAGACCTTTAGATCGTATCAAACGGTTTGCAGAAGAAGGGAGTTCTGCTCTTCCATACAACACGGAAAAAACATGCAGTCCTGGAAAAAACAAAACAAACAAACCCCTGAAATTGCTGCAGAGTCTGGTTAGTCTTGAATTATTCCACTTCTGATTAAGTCTTACAAAACAGTCAAGCATGCCCCAAACACACAGCCTTATAACCTAAAAATGTGTTGTACTGAGTTTGAGTATTGAGTTGTATTCTTCTGTGCTGCTTAAGCCCAGAATGGCACAACAACATTTTGCTGACGCCAACAATCCTTCATGATTACATTACAAGTTTTACGGTAATCAAAAGCAATCAGCGACTTAATTGTGCCACTTCTTTAACCTCATCTACCACATTTTCCCCTAATTAAGAGTTTACTCTCTAAGCGCTGCAAATAAACAGCTGCAAATCATCCAGCAACGTTCCCACAAAAACCAACTTGTCTGCGGTGATAGGAAATGTTATTAGGAAGCGTATCACGTCGGCTTATCAGAATGTATGGAAGTCTCATTAGCAAGACGAGATACATAGACTGTTACAGTAAGCTACCTTTGTATGCAAGTTAGAGCTGCTATCTGATTCATTCCCACCCTCATGTAGTAGAGAACAGAGCTACAGAAAGTTGAACAGCTTCACTCTGGATGTGTTTATATATCATGATTAATCCCTGTCAGGTGTGAACAAGGATTCCTGAGTGTTTCCTGGCAGGTGCGCACTCTTTTTTTTTTTTCTTCTGTGTGGCCATTTTGAGTGGACAGAACTTTGAATTGTCACGTTATTTAATCCATTTTTAAGTTAGACTATTTATGTCTGTTGCGAATCCATTTTGCAGTGGGAGACACATAAAATCTGACTCCTTCAGCATGTTTTAGGTACAAAATGTAAAAAAAAAAAAGAAAAGAAAGTTGTGTGAAACATCTCCCATAGCCCAGAACTTTCCATCTCTGACTCATTTTTCAGAACAAATATGCAGCCAGAAAGCCACTCTCTTAAACTGACTTTAATTCTATTTTCTGTAATTTATGATGAAAACCTAACCTTACACTGAATCCTCTTGTTCTTCAAGCTCTGCATAAAATAAAACCTCTTGAACATTTGTCTTTCCGTTGAAGGAAACGCAACTAAATTTTCAGAAAATTGCTGCTGTCAAGATGCTGCACCGTACGTTTATTTTAACAAGCTTAAGAAGGAGTTATTCTTCCCAGGTGTCTCTTTATGGATTATCTTTGCCTTTGGAGAACTGTCAGACACTATCTGCAGAGACTTCTGTCAGCAGCGGTGAGCTGTGTGAATGTCTTATGAAACACTTAAAAAGTCAAAAAAAGACTTTGCTTCTGCATGTCCATGTTCCTCAGTGCTCGTACTCTGATTCACATGCAATCCCAGAAGCTACATGTTTTTAGAAAAAGGCACTGCAACTGGACAAACATTCAGGGAAAACAAAAAACAACAAGCTTGAGAGCTAATGAGTGCATCTAAACATTGACCTAGCTGCTATGCCAACCAAAACATCATGAAATCCTGCTGTTCCAGTGGTGATGCATCACTTACCTTTGAGTGTGTGCTGCTGCTGCTGCTGCAGGCTGGAAGTATCACAAGGCTTTGAGGAGTTTGGGACAGACGCTGAGCAGCAGCCCTGGTGAGGGTTTGGCTTTTATCTGCAGGTGGGTGGAGCTGAAGCACGGCCTGGATCTCTGCATGTATGTGAGAGACGGAGAGAGGAAAACAAAACAAAAAAAGTGGTATCAGTATGAGAGAGAAACAGCTACTGGGGCTGTGTGTTTGCTGCATGAGAAGTTCGAAGAGAGTGGAACAAACAAAAAAAGGGAGCTCATTCAGCTGCACAATCGCAGATCAGGAGGAGGAAGATTCTCGTTTGTCTTGGACGTCTCAGCGCATTCTTTGCATGCAGAAAAGATTTAAGGGCAGGGTCTCACTTTGGTTTTGGCTGAGGTCAAGATCTAGCTGAGAGGAGAGTTCTTTGTCAGATTACCACTGTACACACACAGTAGTCTAGAAAACAATCCAGCCACAAGGTCTATAAGAAGCTATTCTGCATCTTTTGATTGTACAGAGTAATGCAACTTTCCAAGATCGATTATTAAGAGGTTGAAATATCCATGTAAAGGACATTGTATTCGAGTTAGGCAAAAAAAAAAAAAAAACCTTGCTCATTTTTTTTTCCACTCAGTAATACAGTTACATCCTCCTCTTAAGTAGCTGAGAGTAACTTTAGCATTAAAAAGGAAAAGAAAGGGAAAAGTCTGTGCTTAAACACAGAGAGTTTACAGCCATGCAGCTCTAAGAGGCACTTTGATGCTGTGAGCTAAAAGCTAAAGCCAGTAATGCTAACGTCCACACACAGTATTTAGCAGGTATAATGTTTACCATATTCATCATCTCAGTTTAGCATGTTAGCATGCCAATAAACACACAGTAGATAGCTGGATTTGAAGGTTTGAAGGATTACACAGATTTGCATATTGATGTATTTTGGGCCTTTTTATGCCTTTATTTGAGAGAGGACAGTGGATAGAGAGAGAGAGAGAGTGGAGAATGACATGCAGGAAAGGGGCCACAGGTCAGATTCTAACCGGGCCACCTGCCCCGAGGTACGCGGCCTGTAACCACCAGACCACCGGCGCCCCACAAATTAGCATCTTGACATTATAACTGCAAAGTTTAAACTGTGTGGGTGCTAGGGGAACAGTCAGAGGATCACTAAATCAACAAGAATGAATCATCTGGGTGTCTCAAGTTTTTGACCAAATCTATCCAATATTTTGCGTTAAGTCAATCCGAAACCCAAATGATGAACTGATCCATCCAGTCAACAACAATCACCCTTCTAGCCTGGTGAAAAACAAAACCTCAATGTTCTTCCAAAGCAAATCAAGATAGGAATACCTAAACAGAAGAGCTAAGCAAATCCAAAGGCTGCAAATCAGAGGCTAAAACTAAACATTTTTTACATTTTGTGTTTTAAGTTTTCACTCATATAACCAGATGTGATGAAGTCTGTAACCTCAGACCTATGACGCAAAAAGGATTGGAAAAGGAAAAGTTTAATGCCTAACTTTCCCCAACGAAAGCATAGTCGAAATACTTGCAACCCACCCAAACATTTTTGAAGCCTAAAGGCAGAAAAATCGCCCAATCTGGGAACTCTGGTTTGCACGATCATGCCTTTTCATGTGAATCCTCCCCAGAGCTTTGGGTGTAAAATGGTGAAAATATTTAACTGTTCGGCGATTTCTTTCCCGTGAGGAAGTAATAAGCAGAAGCAGAAATGGGGGTGGGGGGGGGGGTGGGGGATGATTCACACTCTGCACAGCTGGTTCACATTTGTGTTTTTGTTTGTGTTGCTATTTTAGTCCTTTAACATGTTCTCTCCATGCAGGGACTGCTTTTAAAGAAAACATTTTGGTTTCCCTCACAGACTGATTTCACTGTCAGCTCATCATTTGTGCTTGTTAAAGTAATTGACAATACAGCCATTTAACGCAGACAGAAATTAGCTTATTTTCATGAACAGTATTTCCCTTCTTTGATCTAAAAACATGGAACACTTTTCACCCTAAGAGATGAGCCTTCTCTGCATTTTTAATTTTCAGTTTTAGAAAGTCCAGAGCGGCACGCTGTCCACCAGAGAGAACAGTCAGCTGGGTGGAAACACTGACCTCATACCTGTCGACATACAAGCTTCCTCTTCATGTAGTCATTAACCTGACACTTAGAGGCCAGGTTGATACAGAAATGTGAAAGTGCAGAAAACCCTGGAAATTAGTCTCATACCTTCCTGTATCCTGTTCAGCAATCAACTGTCTTTAATGTTTGGATGGGCAGCTTGTAGTCATGAGTAATGCTAACAGGTGGATACACTGTAACAAAAACATGACATTGGTTTGTGTTACCTGTGAGTCTAGATAGAGTCCCAGGACTTTCATATTATGTACTAATGTTTATACTTTAACAGTGGCTCCATCCATACACTACAAACTACAAACATGTTTCTAGTGTAGAAGCTTAAGAATGGCTTCCATGTGATGTGATTATGTGTCGTTAATACAGTAAACACAAACAAAGCTTTTTTTGGTAGGGTTGGATTTGGTCCATTTAGCAACAAGAAGAGAAATGTTCTTCTCCAAAATCAAACTAAAAACTGAATTAAAACTAAGTGGACATCGGGAAAAAAACAAATTCACTTTTTTTTTTTTTTTCCAGCAGCAGTGTCTAACATTTCAAATGCAAATTCAACACATATCCTGAATGTGCAAAGAAGTCAGAGGTAGATCCTGAGAAACCGTACTACAAAAACACACCCATAGTGTTCCTCAACTTCAAACATACTAAAAGCATTGTGGATGGATTCAGGAGCTCTTACCGGATATCCTGCCGTCAAATAATCTTAAAATGTCCATACATAAGGTTTATATTGGAGGATTTTCTCTTTCCACATATTTTCTGATAATTTGCCGAAGTAGAAATACATCTTAAAGCTTATATTTAATTCATTTCCTTGTACAATAAAACTGAAAGACTTCTACAATTATGTGCAGGAGAACATGTCTGAAATGGCTAACAGAGCTCATTCTGGATCTGCTTTTTGTCCTCTGAACCACACTTCTAAAGATTCTGGCTCCTAAAGGACTTTATCCATCAACAGATGCGAGTCCTGACTGTAGTTACATGATGTCATTACAGGAATTGATGCAAACTAAATACCAGGTACAGCTGTGGGGAAAGGAGGCTAATGGTGAGTATTTGACTAGGCAGAACTGTTTGAGGTATAAGTTCCCAATCACAACATACATCTGGTGAACAAGGTGAATACATCAGTCAACACCGTCTGCTGTACTTCCTTAACAAGCAAACATGCCGATTCCTGCTGGAAACAGTTACTGAATGTGGAATCGTGCCGTTTGCTCTCTCATGACAACCTCTGGATTTTTCTGTCTGGCTGTTAATCTGTTCGTCTCATAGCTGGCTTTGAAACTCTGATGTTCCTCTCCATGTTTGGTTGAAGGTTTCAGAGTTTGGCAGAGCAGCGGTATGCCAAAAGGTTCAGGAGTCGACAGCTTGTCTTCATCCCCTCATTAAAGCTAGCGGGCTGTGTAAGAGGCACAAAGTCTGGCAAAATCTCTCCCAGAGAAAATCATTTAGCCCTCTCAGTTTCCCTCAGAGTTCTTCAGCGTGCCTCTGTACAAAAACTGGAACAACTGAGTGACAGATAGCAATGAAGGGAAATCATGAAACCGCTTAATTGGCTGAAAAATGTGAAGTTGTGCCAGTCGTCCTGTGAGGGTGCTTAGAGCTTAACACCGTTCCAGCATAGAGGTCGTGGTAACGTTGGGATGGTTAGCAGGTTGAATGTTTATATTGTTCAAAATCTTAGTAAAGACTTACAGCATGCTAACATTAGAAATAAACACAGGGGGCTTTGGATAAGCTCATGTCATTGTCACGTGCAGTTATTGTAGAGACACACGATGTATTTCCCTATTTGCACACAAAAAGAGTCAGTGCAGCTTTCGTTAACTGTACTGTATGAGAATCCTTCACAAGCACTTAACCTGTATTCAAAAGAATGTAAAGTACTCAGCGAGTTAAATATTATCTTTAGCATCCGGCAGGGCCGTTCACTGTGGCATGCTGCGTGTGACCGCTAGAAAAAACATAAGGCACAAGAGTGGTCGTGCCACTACTGCTTGGAAAGGCAACAGAATACTGTTTGTGCGTTTTCCCACCATTTATTTTCCTTCGGTGAAGTCAGGCCAATTACAGAGCAAACCAAAGCATGCCAGGTCTACGTGATATCACAGGAAAAGGGTCATTAGCTTCTAACCCCCTTTACCAACATTTCCCGTGGTCATTAAGTCTGCAGAGAAGACAGAAAAGCAGGGTTGTTTGAGGGGTAAATCACCTCCACTCTGTGCTCTACTGCCTCTTTTCTTGCTCTGTCTGTGTCAGAAACCTGTCAACCTGTGTTTTTTCTAACCATGATGCAATCGTCTAGGTTCAGCAGACCCTGAATAATTAATTACTTTATTACCTGTTGCTTGGCTCCAGTTACTGGCTGGATTAGATTTGGTTCTGCACTGTAATTTAACATTTTCCGATAAGATATGATTGGTTTGGGAAGTAAAATGTTTCCAGGAGTGTAATTTTTTTAGATTTGTTGGCCAACTTGTCCCATACAGTCCTCATATTACAGTCAGGTTAATTATTTATGTCCTACATTTCCCAAAATGCAGCACCAAATAAAGGGAGAATTAACACTCAATGCATTCACATCTTTATCTCATATTTTCTATTCATGATGTTTTGCAACTTTTCTAACTTTTTCTACCACTAATAACTCACTTTAGAGTCATGAAATCATGAAATTTTTGCGGGAAAAAAGGAGTAATTAAAAGTGAAATTATATTGTACAGTGACAAAACAAGTGAACAATTGCAAAGTAAACCCCTGAAAGAAAACATTTTTTAAAAACTTTCTTCCATTGCAAAGGTATAAGACCTGGGATGCACTAGAGACGGATTAATTAAACAAAAAGGACAACGTTTAGGTTACAGATTTTGAGTTATGTTTAATTATAGCGACCCAAGCTCCATGTTTCCAGCATTTTTCTAATCATATTATGCAGCGTAAGCGTTTGTGTTATGTTTCAATAAATTCCGAAGTGTGCAAGTTTAAGTCGCACTTACAAACTTTTCATATCAGACGTGGTACTTAAATCTGAAAGATGAACTTGCTACTCGAGGTATTAAA